TGGTGAACATGATGTAATCTATGCAGAAATAGAAGTACAATGATGTACACCTGAAATTTTTACAATGTTATAAACCAATGTTACTGCAATAAACAAAACATTTAAAAAAAAAAAAAAATGACGGACACATTTTGAAAGAACACAGGACCCAGTTTAAAGGGGTTCCCACAGGGCAAGTCTGAGACAGTTTAAGGGTCAGAATAAATGATGATAGTAATAGAATATTTTAGAATAAAGAATCTGAGTCCATACTGATATTAATAAATAAATGAATAGGTAAATAAATAGAGGAGAGAGGAAAGCTCTTCCTTGTAGTAGAATAACAACTAATAAACATAGAAGGAATGATGAGATTAGAAAAATCACCATTTTACAGCTATTATAATAATAATTCTGAAATTATTTTGAAATTTTGAATGAAAAAATTCAGTCAAGAACCATCAATGGGCAGGTGAAACTTTGAGGAGGAACAGGATATTTTCGTAGTCTCAAACTACCTCCCCACAAATTACTTAGTAATGACAAAGGGAAAATTAGTGACTTTACAACGTTTTATTCCAACAAATACAACCTTAACCAAAGAATCCAAGTTAACATCACCAATAATGGGATAAACCAATATTATGTGCTTCCTGATATGATGTCCTGAGAATATAACTTCCGTGGTATTCCTGTCAAAATGTACAGTCTCTCTCCAATCATGAGAAAACATCAGACAAACTTAAATTGAAAGACACTGTACAAAACGACTGGCTTCTACTTTTCAAAAATGTCAAGATCACGAAAGATAAAGAAAGGCTGAGGATTCAAGGAGACTAAAGAAATACGACAACTAATTGCAAGATGTAATTCTGGACTAGATCCTAGATAAGAAAAAACAACTATGAGGAATATTGGTAAAATTTGAATATGAACTGCAGATTAGACAATATTACCCTATCTATGTTACATTTCCTGACTTTGATAAATGTACTGTAATTATGTAAGAAAAAAATCCTTGTTCTTAGGAAATACATACTGAAATATTTATGGTTAAAAGGCATGATATCTGCAAACGATTTTCAAATGGTTCAAGAAATATACATCAAGAGAAAGTCAATGATGAAGAAAATGATTCAAAATATTAACAATTAGTAAACCTGGGAAAAGGTGTACAACTTTCTCTATACTTTTTTTGCAACTTTTCTGGAAGTGTGAAATTACATCAAAATAAAAGAATCATAGCACCCCATCAAGATAATAAAATGGAGCCACTAACAATGATGACTAAGGTATTTATTTATTGGCATATAAAGATGTCAATATTGTTCAGTGAAAAAAAAAGCATGTTATAAGACTTATTTTCCCCCCATTTTGTTATGTACATGCATCTATACATGCACAAAAAAGAGCCATGAAGGATATTCACCATGGTGTTAATATCTGTTATCTCTGTGCGGTAAGATCATGGATGACGTTATTTGTTTGTTTCTCTATATTTTGTAATTTTCCTACAATAAAAGTGAATTGAAAGAAAGGTTTTCTTTCTCAGGGAGTGAAGATGTATTCTAGAAGAAGAAATATAGCAGACCATTCTGAGCCAGTCCAAGTCCTGTTTTGCTCACAGGCAGAATAAACAATATTCTTAGTATTCCATACATAATTTATGTTTTTGTCCTCAACAACTGTGCCTGACTGCTGATTTGCTTATCCTTTTTCATTTATATCGCCTGCCTTTACAAAAGACCATCAAATACAGGCTTGGAGTTGTCTATTATTCCTATACAACCATATTATTTTATTTGTGCCAAGCAGCTCTACTATCTGCCCTCCTAGTTTTCATCAAAAACTCTGCTTCGAAGAACCCCTTCCCTTGATCCTCCGCCCTTCTCCACAACCCCAGGGTGTCAACAGATACTCAAAACCACAGGATGAATGTGCTTTATTTTCATGGAGCATCAATTTTACTCAGAAATGGGGAGGAGAAGATGCTATTATCAGAGTAAAACAAACCATTATATTATGCAGTTAAATTGAAAATTCCCCTAAATTTCAAAAATAAAATTGGCAACTTCAAATAATTTAAAGCTCATAAGACTCCAGGCAGGCCTTTCCACTCTAGCCCTCGGAATTCCGGAGGCACAAGTTCCTTTATTATCTACCTTTAAGGATTCTCCAATGGAAAAGTTTGAGAAGCGGAGATCAAAGGCATTCACCTCGTTAAGTGTTCCTCTATTAGCCACTAATTCTTCTCCATCTTATGAAATGAACCCTCAATCTCAGAAATGTCTGCTCAGGAATATGCCCTTCACACAGCCATCTTCTGCTCAGAACTGTACATCCTATACAGCACAATTTACAAGCCATGGTGTTCTTTTAAACATTGTCATTTGAAAGAAGCAAAACTCAAAACACAAAAGTTAAAAAAGAAGAAAATGATTATGGGACACAATTTAAAGACCAATCAATTGCTTAACAATAGGACCTCTGTACAAAGTGAGCCCTGCAAGTAGCCCAATTAAACTCCACAGTCATTACCAGAAACCTGCTTGTTTCAGGATCAATTCAACATGTATAAAGCCTTAAATTGTATACATTAATAAGAATGAAACCCAATAGAATAAAGATACACACGGAAAAATCTTGGCAAAATAGTCTAAAGATTAGACTTAGGCTATCGTCATTTATAGAAACAAAAACAGACCAGTGCCCTAAGTCATTTTTAATACGCACACAAAAACACGTTTCCCTTTAGGCCATTCAAATTGCCTGTGATGAAAACAGTCTCAATTATAAAAATTAAAAGGATGGGAGGTTGACTTTTAAGAATAGATGGTTTTGAAAGAAAGGAGTGGTAACTGGTGACACCAATTTTCCTCTCATGCAACGTTTACTTGCTTGATTATTATGCAAACATTTTTTTATGTCCCGAACCTTTAAGGCCTTCTTTAAATGGAATACAGACTTGTTTTCTCAATAGCTAGAACACTGGCATCTATTCCTAGGTGGGAGATCATTGGAATGGAGCGTACATATTTAACAACCAGTATGGCAATGTTTTTTAATTATGACTTCAAAGGGTTGCTTTCAAATATAAACCATTTTCTCTTCCTTTTCAGGTGACATTTGGATTACCTATTTTGTTTTGGGCTCTCCACTATGTCTGATTTGGTTAAAATCAACCCAAGGGGCCAAAATCACCCCATTTGAAAGCAGCGGGAAGGCAGCGATCATATAAAATCCTGCCTTGCCAATAGCAAGCACTCAGGAAAGGTGTATTGAATTAATTTACTGACTTGATAAACATAATGGTTTTGAGAGAGGCAGAGTGGGGACATTTCATTGCCAGAAAGCAGCCTCATCTAACTACATGGGAAGTGCATTAATGGATGTCCTTAGCTAAACAGCGTAAGACTACAAGACTTGAATCAACAAGCCAACTAATTCTGCTGCCAGGTTCTCAGACCCAACGTGAAATAACCTTTTGGAGCAGTCCCTGGAATCAATCAGGAAAAATAACCAATTTTTATTTAGCGCAGTGCATTGTACAGAGGAGGCCACTCAGTGGATGTTTGACGACGGTAATGGTGACAGTAAATATGCTCCTTTGATCACCTACAATAGAGACGCAGTGCTACTCCACTCAATTCATTCAACAAACAGGTGTGAAGTGTTCTAGGCACTAAGGATACAGTAGTGAGCAAACAAGACAAAAATTCCTACTTTCCTGGAACTTACTTTCTAGTTGGGGTGGAGAAAAGTTAAACAATAGATAAGTAAAATATAGAATATATTAGTGCTAAATGGTTAGGAGAAAAATAAAGCAGGAAGGGGGTATGAAATGTTTTGAAGAGGAGTTAAAAATGGAGATAGAGTGACCAGCGAGGAACATAGAAAGAAGAAGAAAATAGAGCATATGGGCAGGGAATTTTCTAAATTTTTTTTAAGAAAGTTTTTCGTTTTCTTTTCAATTCACTTGTGTCTTGTTCTAAATATCTATGTATATTCTAAATTTTTATTAAAATATATTCTAATATATCTCAAAATAAAATTCATTATGACTACTTTTTAAATACACTGATAGACATATTCACAAAAATTTTAACAATTCTTTCTGATTGAGTTTCATAATGAAAACAATTGGCATTGGTGTAGCACTTTATAATTGAGATAACAATGAAACCCACTTCCACAAACCATACATAAAAATTTCTACTTTATGGTCACACTACACACACACACACACACACACACACACACACACACCACTATATCTTAACTAGTTTGTAATCTATTCAGGAACAGAGACTGTCTTCTATTTATTTTTCTATGTCTTTTATATGCCTCTGAATTATATTATAGGCCTCTTTCGAATTCTCCACACCGTAGGGGCACAGGTAAATGCTTAATGACTGTTGACTAACCAATCTCGAGCAATACAACACTGAGAATTAATTATCAGATATTTTGTTCCTCTATTTATTTCACTTCTTTGGCTCCATCAAAAACAAAATTTTAAAATTCCAAGAGGATAAAACCTTTATAACTGAAAGAGATGTAAATATGTTAAAGTGGATTTATTAGATCAATGCATTATTTTTCATGAGAACATTTACACCCTGCCACTATTTTTTCTTGGGCACAATTTCTGTAAGGTATTTCATCATGAAGGCCTAATGTAACATGAATTTTTATAAAGACACATAATAAGTTGAATTTTTAAAAAGCATTCATTGTTAACAGTACGATCTGTTACCCAGGTACGGGTTATTCTTTTGAATAAAATACAGGTAATTGGCCACAAATAATGGATACTGATTACCTTCTCGAGTGGAAGAAGTCTCTAGGTGTTGAAGCTTAAGTCCAGTGTCTAATCTTTGAGGCTTCGTATACAGAAATAAATAGCAAAGGACACAGACGCTGATGACAAAGGCCAGTAAAACAAGGGCAGCAATTCCCAATCCAGTCAGGGCACCAATGCTGAGGAAAGCAGGAAAAACACCGTGACTGTCACACGCTAGTTTCCACATACACTAAAGAGAAGGTTTAAACATTGTTAATTCTTGCTTCGATCATTCATAACCAAATTATATTTTGGTATAAACATTATATGATTGAAATCTACAGCTCACCTTTTTTCTACCATCAAATTCTTCTTACATTTTCTCTATACATTTATATGTTAATATTCGTATAAAATACCATGTGAATTCACGTTACAGGTAAAAGGTCACATGATTCTCTAGGGATCGTTCAAGAACATCTCAATCAAATAAACCTCTATTAGTAATATATTTTAGGAGGAAAGTTCATGTTCACCAATAAGAGATGAACAGAAAAATTACTTCTGCATAAGTAGTGAAACAAATGTTTACCAGAAATGTAGAACTTTTCCTTTGGAGACATGTATGGCAGATATCGTTTACTAATATACAAAACCACAACTATTATTAAAGAGGAGAAGCTTTAATTAAAGGAAAGCAATATTTATGAAATTTATATAAATTCATGTTCAGTCTAAGTTTTTCCTTTCCAAAAGAGCATAACACTAGTGGCTTCTAGCATGTAGGAAGAAACCCTTGTACGTTTCTCTAAAGATAAAGTGGATATCTGATATTATTTGCTCTGCACTAAATTTGTAATAATTCCTTCTGATACAGTTATCTATAAGGCTAATCATTTGAGATTTGAAAACTTAGTTTTCATAAACCTGTGAACTTAATACTTTTAAAAGGGAAAGGGAGCTTAGAAAAAAGAGAATTATCTTGAAAGACTGATATGCAAACATATGTACTTTACTTTCATGAAGCATATGTATGTGTGGGTGTGTGAATATATGTAACTAGATTTTAAGCTGCTCAAGGGCAGATACTTCTGTTGACTTTCCCTTAGTGCTGTGCACACTTATTAAAGTGTTTAATGAGTACTTAGCTTGTAGTAAATGCTCCATAAATAGAGATAAATAATAATTGACTGGTGATTGATTCACTTGTAGTAATTTAAAAGTAATCATCATTGAAAAGTGATGATCATTGAAGTGATCATTGAAAAGTAATGATCTTTGTCTTCAATATTTTCCTGGCTTCCTGGCTTCCATTATCTTGAGGCTTCTGCCATTTCCTAGAAACAAGGGCCCTGACAAGTTTGACAGGTACCAAAAGAAGCCAAGGGAAAAACCGACTAGAGATGCTAGGTGTGTCATCGCTTCAGGAGGAAGGAGGAGAGGATTAAAAGTGGGGGGCTAAGCTCATGCCACTTATCCTTGACTTGAGGAGATAAAGCACCTCTTCACTTTAGAGATTGCCTCCTGAGCCATAGACATGGAGCCAGAATTCCAGAGATTCTTGTGCTTGGTTTATTAATGTCAGCCCAGTTCCCCAGCCTTGCACACAAGTGAAGACTGGGTAATGTTGTGGCTTGAGTCAGCATATAGTTATATATTTAGATTGGAGTTTGCCCTCATGTGGTACATTTTCTTCCAAGGGCTCTGGCAACTCCTCTTTCATGCTTGTTTGCAACAAAGCTGACTTTTGTAGATTGCACGTGTTAGGGAGGGTTAAGACTATACATAGACACATGAGAACATAATCCGCTTAATTAATATTATATGCTGCACAAGGCAGCTAGGAGGCCAGACATCTGGAAAGATTCCTGAAACAAGAATCTAGTTATTAAAAAATCCTCATAGTGGGGGCTGGCCCGGTGGCACAAGCGGTTAAGTGCGCGGGCTCTGCTGCGGCGGCCCAGGGTTCGCCGGTTCGGATCCTGGGCGCCCGCACCTACGCACTGCTTGTCAAGCCATGCTGTGGCGGCGTCCCATATAAAGTGGAGGAAGATAGGCACGGATGTTAGCCCAGGGCTAGTCTTACTCAGCAAAAAGAGGAGGATTGGCAGATGTTAGCTCAGGGCCGATCTTCCTCAAAAAAAAAAAAAACAAAAAAATCCTCAATGAAAAGTATTTAGTCAATTTAAAAGTAAAATTGTCAACTTAATTAAATTCAACATATATATTGTGGGCTTTTAAAGTACACAATTTAAAAATCAGGCCACATGATTTGAAGGAAAAACAAAAAGCATGCTATTTCTGCTTTCTGTTATAAAAGGAGGGTCTTCATAATCTTGACAAATGTTTCCGTGTCACAGTTCCACTTTATTGAAACGTTGCTTTACGCATGGAAAACTCTAGATAAAGATGGAGCTCTAAGAATCTCCTAAAATATTCATTTCAACAAACGCTTATTGAACTCATGTGTAACCCTGTGCAATAAGCATTATTTTCCCAGGTCCCGAAGAAGGTTACTAAAGAAAACCCTAAGAGGTTAGGGATTTGTAAGAGGAGAAAAGATGGGAGTGGGCCAGACACAGAAAGGGAAGAATTAACCTTTCCTCACCACACCATATGGCAGTTTGCTTTTCAATCCCTGAGAGAGGCTCTGAAGCTGCCGTCACGTTACCGCAGCAATTCTACTTGGCAACTTCACTTGCCTGGTAGTAGCTATACTTGTGCCTTTCTCCAGCAGCTGCAGAATCTCAGAACAAATCTAGACTTCTGGAATATTTTTCACAGTTGGACTGTTTTAAATTAGGGGTGGAGAGCAAAGAACGTGGGGGAAATGAAGCTCTAAATTTTTACCTCCCTGTTGTGTTCTCAGAGCTCAATAACTAACAAGAACCCCAGGTTTAACATTGCCAGCTGATGCCATCAGTTGAAATGATTTTTATATTTCTAGGAACTGAGCTACAATATCCATTTTGTCAGTGCTGAATGAAGACCCCAGCAAGCTGTTCATTCCTTTGTGCCCTCATAAACCTTAGCAGGGTTTACATCCTCTGTCGCTTGTCACTTTGGAACTATTTAGGGATCTGAGAATCCCAGGCACTTTTCCAATTGTTTGACTTAAGTTTCCAGTCTCTGTTGGAGGCACTGCCACCATTGTTAACACCTCCAGACTCAGAGCTGGGTTACTATGTTATTTTTCAAAAGGCCAGATAATAAGCCAGTGCAATACAGATTGCTTCCCTCAATAATAAGGATAAGCTGTCATTATTTTCAAGAAGTTTTGGCCCACTCTGGCAAAACACAACTTTGTTAGTATAACTTGTCAGTAAGTGGGCACTCCTTTTGAGATTTTTTTGAAGCTTGCAATAGCTAAAAACAATTATTTTACTGCTTCAAGAAATAATATTTAAAGTCATTTGCTGTAGACTTGGCATGTGTGCCAAATTCTGGATCATGCTAGGAAATTGGGATAAATAATACTCTTCCTCTTACTAGGAGAGTCTCTCTCTCTCTCTCTTTCTCTCTCATCCAGACATCAGCTAATTAGTCTCCAAGAAACAAATTAAGGTAGGATGGGAGTTCTTTGTAATTGTGGCACCCCCTTCATTCTCCAGGCAAAATGAAAGGATCATGTTAAAAGTTTGCAATCCTTTGGAGTGGAGGGTGAGGAGGGTAGCGGGGAGAAGCACTTCGTAGAGAAAATATTTACATAAATAACTAGTTGGAATAAGTAAAATTCCCATCATAGGAAAAAGAGGCAAGAAAGACTCCACCTTAGAAAGTCTCTTCACTTTCTAGCAATGGCCAAATGGCTCAGGTGTTGAGAAAGGGGGTGTCCTGGAAAGGGTCTACAGAGTGTGTAATCATAGCAACTGAAACTCTACCTCTCTATGGGTCTCCATTCGGTTCCGGGTCAGTGTCAGATCATCTGAAAAAGGCAAATTATAAAGCGCAGTCGCTTGCGCGCGCGTGCGAACACACACACCCCTTTTTGATATTTTGAAAACACAGCCAATTCCTTCTCACCCCCAAACACACTTAAAATACTCTGATGCTTGGTTATGCCTTAAAATGAGTCCCAAAGGAGCCCCTTTCTATTCAAATACACCAAATTCCCAAACAACTCAAAAAGAGAATTAAAACCTCCTCAACTTATCTGCGTGTCTTCTCTCTCTGCCAGCAGAGCCACCTGCCTGGGACTGGCGAGAGTGAAGAGCAGCCTGCTCCCGCGAGGCGGGCGGGGAACTGAGCCGGCCAGCCGGGGCGGGCCCGGGTGCGCCCTGGGCGCAGAGCCTGCGCTCCTCCCGCGCGCCTCGCCTGGGGTCCCCGGGCGGATTCACATCTCTGGCGGCCACAGCTCGACCCTCCCCGGACAGGGTCGGCACCGAGCGGGTCCCGGCTCCCTGGGGAGCTCCGAGCCGGGGGAGGTTTCTCCGCAGGGCCCTCACCCGCCCTCGGAGGCTCCGTGTCCTTCCGGAGGGACCCGAACTGAGCGGGTCGCGGGAACCCGGGCGACCTCCCCCCTCCCGGCGTGACTGCTCTTCGCTTCCCCAGACTCCGGCCCGCCAGCCCCGAGCCCTGCCCACCTGAGGCTCCACATGTAGCTGTGCTTGTAGGGGAAGTAGCTGCCCGGCTCGCTGCAGCAGTACTTGAGGTCGGCGAAGCCGCAGCAGTAGAGGAGGGCGGCCCCCTCGCCGCGCCGGGGGCACTGGAAGGGCTCCACGAAGCTGTGGTTGAGGCTGTAGTAGCCGGAGCACACCCGGCTCGCCTCGCTCATCGCGGGCGGCTGCGGGCAGGGGCGCGCGAGGCCCCGGCTCTGCTCTCGGACCGCACCCGTCCCGCACCGCCAGCGCCCGCGGACCCCTCTGTCCCGCTCGCCTCTTCTGATCTGGGCTCTGACCGCCCCGCGTTTAGCCTCGGCGCGGCCCCTGCGCTCTCTCTCCTCCGCCGGTCCACATGGTGTCTGGTCGCTTCACTCGCGCTTCTCCCTCTCGCTACTGAGCGATCCCTCTATCTGCCGGTCTCCCGCCCTGTACCTCCTCTCCCTCTCCCTCCGTCTGCTTTCTTCACGCTCTCCCGACTCCCCTCCACTTTCCCTCACTTCTTCAACAGCCTGGGGACCGTAGCTGTCCCCACTCCGTGCCAGAGAGAGATCTCATCCGAAAGAAGAGTGCAGGCTTAGGACCTTTTTGCCATCTGGACAGATGCCACCGAAGTTGCAGTTCTGTTTGCTCAAGGACAGGGCAGGTGGGCTCCAGGCAAACAAAGCAGGGCTGGGGGAGCCTTTACGCACCGCGGGCCATTCACCCAAGGAGTGGGGTAGTGGGCAGGACAAAAGGCACTGAACCACAGGCGAGGGGGTGTCGAGAAGCACCCCTTCTTCTTTGAGAAGTACACGTGAAACAGTAAAATCTGCCAATTTAAAAGTCAAACACAAGAAACAAAGTCTTCTCCAAAAACTAGTCATGTATTCTGTATTTAGTTAAAATAACCTTGGAAAGGGAAGGAAAGGCAAGAGATGCAGGTAAAGAAAGTGAAGGCTTTCTAGAGAGACAGGCAGAAAGAGGAGGCAAAGGAAACATGGAGAAAGACCTTCATCAGTTTTAATGTGTGCAGAAACTTCCCTTGTCTCCTTTCTGTTTGGTATTCCCGTTTTCGTGATTCGTTTGTTCATAAAGTCTTTTAAAGTAACAATAGTAATGGATGCTTGTTGTAATAAGTCAAACAGGACTTCGATGTGTAAAGAAGAAAATAATAATAGCCTTAAGATGGGCGAGGAGGTGACTGTAACGTTTGTAGAATTTCTGAGATAGATAGAGTATTGTTCCTTCCTCTTCGTTTTCTGCTTCCTTCCCTTGGCCAGAGGGTTGATTGGATGCCAGAAACATGAATTTTACCTTGTTGGGTGCTGGGTAGTCTTGTATTCCCATGAATATTCTCCAGGTTTATCTGGGATGCACTTAAGTTACTTGGAAACAGTTGGATTCTTTCAGGTTTGCTTTAAGCTTTGTTAGGCAGAGCCAGAGGAGACCTGAGGACTAAATTTTTCCCCACTAGTGAGGTGATACCCTCTTGAGTACTCTCCTGGGTACCTTGTGAATTACAAGGCTTACCATCCTGGCTGGTGGAAACAAATTGTTCCAGGCCTTATGAGAGGTCCAAGGAGCGTTCCATCTGCTCCATTTAGGTGTCTCTTTTCCTGGCTTCCCGTACTTTCCTTACAGGCATGTACTGATCAGTACTCAGCTGAAGACTCAAGGAGATCCTCTGGAGAACCAGATCTCTCTTTCTCTCTCTCTCTCTCTCCAGCTCTCTTCTTTCTGGTATTCTGTCCTGCTACCTCTAGCCACCGTGGCTTTCCTGGACTCCCAGATCTCTCTTCTCAACTCAGGGAGACCACTGGGCTCCACTGGGATTCCCTCTCCCACTGGATTCCTCTCACCAGGCAGCAAGCTGGGGCAATCATAGGCTCACCTCATCTGTTTCCCTTCTCTCAGGGATCCCTGTCCTGCACTACCTGATATCCAAGTACAAAACCCATTGTGTCTATATTTTGTGTGTTTAGTTTTTTCAGGCAGGAGGGTAAATCTGGCCCTTGGTAAGACATTTTAGCTGGACCTGGCCAGGAGATTGGACTTGATCCAAGCTAGGCCAGTTAGGTTCTCTCTCCTGGAACTGGGATTCCTCCATGTGGACAGGAAGCCACAAGAAGCTAGTGTACAGGGAAGAGAAAAATGAAGCAGAGAGGAGCAGCAAAGAAGGGTGGAAAGAGTGCTGATAGCTTTGCAAGTCTTGTTCAAGTCCTTTCCTGAGACCCGTGGCATTCCTACCATTGGGTTTTTTGAGACATCCCTGATTCATGAGAGTCAAATCTCCTTTGCTGGCTAAAGTGCCTGCAAGTTGGATTCTACTACTTGCAACAAAAGGGTGCTAACTCACACAGCACATCTTCAGGCAAAGCTGAGGGGAGAAGGCAGTTGAAAGGAAAAAACTGAAGCTCTTTAATCAACGGAGCGTGTTGCCTTGGAAGGGGGAGAAACAGGCAGCACAAGTGGACTTTTCTTCCTCTTGTGCAAGAGGAAAAGAAAATTTGAGATGAGAAGGAGGGAAGTTCTTCCAGACAACGATATTGGCTGTCTCAGTAAAATCTACAAAAGTCTTCTGTGGAGCATCAGGCAACAAGGTGGAAATGGAGCGCTTGAAGAGAATGGAAAAGGCTGAGAGTGAGCACTGTGGGGAACATGGCCGGGTGACAGGCAGAGTGGAACAAAAGGACTGGGTGCAGCATTGAGGACCCACTTACTGTTAGAACTTTCTAGTGGAACATTGTTGGTTCATGTGATTTTCTCCAACAATGAAAGTTCAGTAGTCCGGGAACAGGAGCAGGCAAGTGAACAGGAGGATTTGTCAGGATGATTCTCTGGGGCTGTGCTCTGGCCCACTACCGCCTCTGCAATGACAGCAGCACCTTAGCTCTTTTCAACCCTAAATACACACAAAAACACACACAGAGAAAGGCAAGCTTACAGCTGCTGGGCTCTATCAAGCTTGGAGCACCTCGAGACTGCTGAAGGTGAAACAAACAAAGGAGACTTTTAACCATGAGGCTTAAGGGCAGAGTCAATAATGGCTCTCAGCAACACCAGTTCAGAAGATGCCTATCACTGCTTGACTTGCCTGCTGTGTGGTCCCCTGTGACCCAGTCCCCAGCTCTCTGCCTCCACGCAGGAGGAGTTTGGCAGGGAGTGGGGGTGGGGCTGGCCCCATATCAAAAGATAGCCATAAATTACATCTTTTATATTCTTGTTTCTCACTGGTTCTCAACTAAGGTGGTACTCGCATTTAGGGAATATTTTGGAAATAAGGGGACCTTTTTGGTTGTCCTGGTGACTGAGTACCCTACTGGCAGTGAGGGTTGTGGGCCAGGGTTGCTAGACGTGCTGACATCCTGCAACACCAACAGAAAAGTGGAGAACTGTCTGTGACTTTCAAACGCTCCACAGGACATTCATGTAAGTGAAACACCTATTTATAATTATCTGCACCCAGCACCTGCTCCTGTGGTGAAAAATAAATACAACGTATTTCTTGAATTTTCCAGGAAATGTAACTACCATGTAAATTGAGGGAAGATTGTTCTTTGTTTTGTTTGGAACTTTACCAAGAGTTTTTCACTCTTTCAGAAAATCATGTACCAATGGTAATGTTGCTCAAGATTTTGTATTTGAGTTGCCAATACCGTACACGGTCTGTGTCAGCCTGCATTGGTACTGTCACTCCGCGGTGATTTATAGCTCGTGCAAGCACAGTATTGGTGTAAATGTTATGTCTCTTGGTATAGTTGTCCTTGAGCATTTACATGTGGAAATACATATTTTATTGTAAATTACACTCCCTTTATTTCTTCTTTATATTACAATAAAGGCATTATATATAGTGGATTAGTTTGCTAGGGCCACCATAACAAAGGATCATGGACTGGGAGGCTTAAACAACAGAGATTGATTTTCTCACAGTTGTGGAGGCTCCAAGTCTGAGATCAAGGTGTTGGCAGGGTTAGTTTCTTCTGAGGGCTGTTCCAGACCTCTCTTCTTAGCTTATAGATGGCCGTCTTTTCCCTGTGTCCTCACACTGTCTTTCCTCCGTATGTGTCTGTGTCCAAATTTCTTCTTCTTATAAGGACACTAGTCGTAATGGATTAAGGTCCACCCTTATGATCTCATTTTAACTTAATTACCTCTTTAAAGACTCTATCTCCAAATATGATCATATTCTGAGGTACTGGGGATTAGGACTTCATCATATGAATTTGGGGGCTGGGGGATACAACTTATTTCATACAATTAGGTATTTTGTAAACCCATCATACATGAATTTTAATTCAAAATAGTAAAGGGAGAGTTATAGAAACATTTCTTATAAAATGAGGGACATCAAGTCTGCTGGGGTTGAGAAATACTGATATAACTTATCAGTAGGACAATGCAAATGGTATGTCTCGTAGCTGAGTGCTGCTACTTCTAAGCTCTGGCCCAACAAGGGTCCCCCAGCGTTGGCAAGATAGAACAAATGGAGGGAGAGTAGGAATAAGAAGTATCTGGCTATTGGGTAAAAGCAAGATAAAGGTTCAAACAAAGCTGACTTGGCTGTAGAAATAATGAAGAGGCCAGATGAGTACTTTGCTCAGAAGCCTTCAAGAGATCCTTATTTCCAAACCTTCTGTAAGCAGTGCCACTCTACTTTATTGCTCTCTTAAGCATCTCTAACGTGCTCTGCTACTCTGGCAAATCAGTCTTCTTCCTGCCCCAGAAACATCTTCAGGTTATGTTTTTCTATCCAAGAAATACTATGACTTTCTTCTTTCTCTCCAAATCTTTGTCAGTTTTCAAAACCCAGCTACAGGATTTTCTCACCATATAGCTCATGAAACTGATAGAACTGAGCAATTACGAGGTAGAACAGAATTTGAAAAGACCTACGTGAAGAGGCCATGAGGAAACAGGGGTCATGAGAAAGCCGAAATCATGGTTTACAAGCAATAAGGCAGCAGAACACATGCATAAACATATGGAAAACCAGCCGGAGTAAAACGACACGTGGCAGTAAAAGGAAGTGAGAAGCAGAGAGGAGAGTTACTGAGTGAGCATAATGATGGTGGTGGGTGGGGTGTTGGTGAGCTCTTGCTGCTGAAAGGGTTAATAAGAAACCCCGTCCCTAGAGCTGTGCTGTATCCCTCAGGTACCAGTCTCCATGAGAGCTGGATATTTCTGGATTCCTGTCATGGTTGGGATGGAAGTCCTCCTTAACACATTCCACATTACAACTGTCATTTACTC